ATTACAGTCAGTAAAAGGGTTAGGTGTCTCTCGGCTGAAGAGCAAATTTATAAACCTCACAGTTTGCGTCTTTGAAAAAATTTGGACTTAATTAATTTTGGATTTATAATGAAAAGACGACAGTGTTTTTGGTTCTCAGAACTGTAACACATGATGAGGAAGCCTGACTTTAGGTCATTAGTGGTCTCATCTCAAACACGACATATAATGGACCGAGTGTGTTGAGGATGTTTGCCCTTCGGTTTTCCTTCATGTGGCTTCCGATCCAGGGTGCCCTTTTCCTTGTGCCCCTGTGGATTCTGGGATAGGGTCTATGCTCGTACTGGCCTGACGGATAGATAAATAAGTAATAATCTTTACTAGGATTCGAATATCTTGTTTATTCCTCTTGGAAATGGAGGAGCTCAATACTATTTCTGGAAGCTCAAGTAGAGCATTGCAGTAACAATGCAGAGGTTGTGGGTTCGAATGCCAAGGGCCACACACATTGTAACCCCTCCTTCTACTGTGAGCTGCTTCAAAAAGTGTCAGATAATTGAGTTTTTAAATGTTTTCTCCTTTCCAGTCGCTGTTGGAGGCTCACGACCAGGTGGCGTCGAAGTCCTACGACGCCCTGCCGTCCGAAGTCACTAAGGACACGTCGATGGGCAGCTCTCTGCAGGCGGAGGCCGTGCGGATGATCGGGATCCAGAAGAGGCGCGGGGAGCCGCTGGTCAGTGCTGCTCTGATGCCGATGGGGGCCGGAAGCTGGTCAAAGACAGCCGCTCGTTCCCTGAGGCCCCGGAAGCCGCAGCCCACCACTGGTGTCGTTGGCAGGGTGTGACGTTCCGCGTGGAGAACGGCGAGCTCGTGATCGCCCGCATCCTGCACGGTGGCATGATCGACCGGCAGGGCCTGCTGCACGTGGGTGACGTCATCAAGGAGATCAACGGGCACGGCACGGACGGCGACCCCTGCCACCTGCAGGACATGCTGAGGAAGTGCAGCGGGAGCCTCACCCTCAAGATCCTCCCCAGCTACCGCGAGCAGGCCACCCCCTCGCAGGTCCGACACGCCTAGCCTCCTGACCGTGCACCCGGGGGGGGGGGGGGGGGTGCGCTCTCCTGTAACGCCGCCGTCAGCAGGTGACCGGCAGGAAATGCAACCCGCCAGAAGCGCTCTATTAATAGCAGGTGTGCCTCAGCGGGTTAGGAGGCCTTGGAAGGTGCCGGGTCAAATCCCCGCGAGAGCAGCGTGACGTCGCCGCCAGGCCCTTGAGCACAGCCCTTAAACCACGCCCCCTCTGTATGACATCACAGCGCCAATGGGATGCTGGCCAAAGTGAGGATGGTGCTACAGGGGGGGCTTCGGACAGTCGGCTTGCTGTTTGTTATTAATGTAGGTTAGTGAGTAATAAACTATTCTCATCTCCCCCCCCCCAGTTGCCTGAAGGCACTGCTTTTCATTCCCGTCAGGGAGTCCCCTTATAGGAGTGTTCTGGATGTCGCGGGATGGGCAGGGACGTGGTCTTTCCACGGTGACTTCCCGTTAGTCCACACCTGCTTTTCTCTCCCTGACGCCGGCTAGCTGACTCGCCACCGCGTGCTTTTCCTCGTCCGGTCGCCTTGGTCGTCTTCGGCAAACGGCTCTGGACCGTTTCTGTGCAAACGCGCGTAGAGGCGTTTCCAGGGTTTTCGCCCTGTGGTTCAGAGAGTCGCCGGCCTCCGCTGTGGGGAGACATGTTCACCTGCATGTGTCCTTCCTCGTGCCATTGCTGTCCCTGATGTGTGGCCCGTAGATCCGGGATACTGAGGACGGTCCAGTATGCTGGTGACCAGCAGAGGTCCTGATTCCTCCCAGAGGATTTGGTGGAGAAACCTTGATCTTTACAACCATGGCTGTGAAACTCTTCTCCAAATATTCTTACTCTGTAGTATTCTCATGGCGTTCTCACAATTGCTAGGTTTACTTGAAGCCATACTTTGACTACAATCCAGCCAATGACAGCCTGATCCCCTGCAAGGAGGCGGGGCTTGCCTTCTCCAGAGGGAGTATCCTTCAGATGGTCAACAAGGAGGACCCCAACTGGTGGCAGGTGGGTGGAGCCTGTTTCTACCTATGGGTGAATCCACATGCTGGGAGGATGTAGGTTGCCAGGTCAAATCAGTCTCTGATTCAAGCCATTAGCTGGGAGTAGCAGCCTCCATGTCTAGATGGGGGATTAGTTAGACAGATCTTGTAGATGTGCTTTTCTTTTCTTTAACTAGAGAAGATGTAGAAGAAGGGACTAGTAGATGACAGCAGTCTCTCCGCCCGTCCCTCAGGCGCGCCACGTGGTGGGCGGAGCCACAGGACTGATCCCCAGCCAGTTCTTGGAAGAGAAGAGGAAAGCTTTTGTCCGGAGAGACTGGGATGGGTCAGGTACTCTCCGCCCCCCCCCCCATGTCCTGGCCTCACCAGCCTTACCCAGAGTCTGAGGCTTATAATTACCCTCAGGATGCAAAAATCTTTCAGAAACGAGTAATCTATTTTATTTTATATTTTTTCTAAGAGTTTTAGTAAATTAAAACTAATATGTTCAACAGTCTCAGGCATTTAGTTATAAGGCTTGACAGCACAGTATGCGGTGAGCTTTTAGGTTAAGTCTGCCCTCTGGTGGCCGCACAGAGTACCAACGCTTCATTCATTTTGTCAGGCATGCTCTGCGGGACCGTCAGCGGGAAGAAGAAGAGGAGGATGATGTACCTCACGGCTAAGAATGCAGGTATACAGTCAAGGGGCTGATATCTTTTTAGCTTTTGAGTTTTGAGCCCCGAAGCATGTTTCTTCACATCAGTTTGGGCCGGTGGGGGTAATGGCGGCCTCGTGTTTTCAGAGTTTGACCGTCACGAGCTGCAGATATATGAGGAGGTGGCGAAGATGCCCCCTTTCCAGAGGAAAACGCTGGTTCTGATCGGAGCGCAAGGGGTGGGGCGCCGGAGCCTGAAGAACAGGCTCATGATTCTCAACCCAAGCCGATTCGGTACCACCGTCCCCTGTGAGTCCGCTCGGCATGGCGACGGGACCTGACGCGTGCTCTCGGTCCCGCCTCACCCTCTGGTGTGCCCCCAGTTACATCGCGGAGCCCCCGCGAGGACGAGAGAGACGGCCAGTCGTATCGCTTTGTGACGCGGACAGAGATGGAGGCGGACATCAAGGCGGGCCGGTACCTGGAACACGGCGAGTACGACGGGAACCTCTATGGAACCAAGATGGACTCCATCCATGGGGTGGTGAGCAGTGGCCAGACCTGCATCCTGGACGTTAACCCTCAGGTCGGGCCGGGCTGTTCGCTTTAACCCTCAGCTTAAACCGTAGCTGCAACCGCTTGGCGTGTCACGTGATCTGACCCCCCCTGCATCCGCAGGCGCTGAAGGTCCTGAAGACGGCGGAGTTCATGCCGTTCGTTGTCTTCATAGCCGCCCCGGAGCTGGAAACACTGCGGGCGATGCACAAAGCCGTCGTCGACGCGGGAATCACCACCAAGCTGCTCACGGTCTGTCCCGTTGGCATTTTCCAGGGCTGCCGCCGCCTCAGACCTCGAGGGCTGGGGGTTCAGATCTCATACACACGCGGTGTAGGCTGTGGGTTTCCACAGGCTCCAGTTTCCACCCGCAACCCAAAGACATACAGGCATTCTGGCCTAAATGGCCTTTGAGTGTGAGTGTGTGTACATATGTGGTCTGTGAGGGTCAGGGTCCTGCCCCCCAGCCGTGTGGCTCACGCAGTCTCCAGATCCCCTGGGATGAGTGACGGACAGGTGGATGGATGGATGGACAGGTGGATGGATGGATTGGTGTCTCGAGGCTCGTGGGATGTTCTGAGCAACCCTCAGATATGACTGTAACCTTGTCTCGCCCTCAGGACAATGACTTAAAGAAGACGGTGGATGAAAGCGCGAGGATCCATAGAGCCTACGACCACTACTTTGACCTCACGATTGTCAACAACAACCTGGACAAGGCGTTTGAAGAGCTTCAGGTGGCCGTGGACAAACTGTGCTCAGAACCACAGTGGGTCCCAGTCAGCTGGGTCTACTGAGCTTTGCGGACCTGATCCCGAGCAGGGCTGGGGGGTCACCTGCGTGGACCCCACCCACAGAGCCCCAGGTAATGTGAGGTCAGACAGCACAGCTAACGGCACCAGAGACCTCTCCATATGCTGACCCGTTTTCTACTACACAGACCAAAGGGAAGTGAACTTACATTTATTTTTTAATAACTTTTACAGTACCTTTTCACTAACCTCAATTTGGAAATGGATGTTTCAATTTGTTTAGCATATGTGTACCCTGGTTATCGCTGGCAGAAGCGAACATTTTGATCTACCAACTACTTCTAAAGTTTTATTTATTAATCTGGGTGAGGAGACCTCTTTCAGTGAAACATTACAGCGCCGTATCTCACCTTAAACATGTTTACAGTACATGCCTTGTCACCATGACGATTACACAACTCTCCTCTGTGAATCCCACTTTACATAAGAGTCGAGGGGAGGAACTTGCCCTAAATTCTGCTTCGTGTTCCTCATGGATGTCTTTGTGTACCTGACAATTTCAGCTAGGAGAGTTCAGGACGGTGCAAGCATTTTTAGTCTTTCCAGGGTTTATGATATATCGGATGATTATCCTTAACAGACATGCGTGTTTGGCTTTAGATGTAGCTCTGGACCTCGATGCCCTTAGATCCCGCCTTCAGTATGCACTGCAGAAACACGCTGGCTCTCTGTTCTATGCTCTGTTTAATGACTGGTGGTTTGTTTGTCCCTCTGAAAGATGACCCACCCCCCCCCCCTTTTTTTTTTTGAGGGTAATTAGTCACGGAGAGAGAGACCAGCCTGCCTTTTGTTGTACTTGCGTGTGAATTAACTTCCTCCTTTTCATGTGATGGACATGCCCTACCCAATATTTTATAATGAAGAGACCTGTATTTTAAAATAAGTTTGATAAGTTTGATTAATAAATTTCAGGCTGCTGACAGTTGTTTGCTTCAGATTTATTTCATTTATTTTTTATACAGTTTCCCCCTAAAATGGCTTCAAGCTGCTAACCGCGGGGGGGGGGGGCGCAGGCTGGCCTGGATCCGTCACACAAAAATCTCTGCCACTGTTCCTTTCAGGGACTCCCTCCGGGCCCTAGTTTGCCTCTTTGTCTTTCATCAGATTTAGTCCATCGCTAGTTCTTTTTTTAAAAGAAAAAAACCAAAAACCTTAGACAGAATTTCTCCGGGGATCAATAATACTAGCAAAATTCCTTTAACAGCAATGGATGTACTTTACCAGTACAGAGAAAATGGAGGGAGGCGAGGAAGATTTGAAACATTTCTGATGGCAAATGGTGGTTTGAACTAACAATCCATGCTGGATTTTTTTTTTTTTAAAAAACATTTGTTAATAATCTGAAATCGAACACAGTGCTGCCCCCTAGCTTCTAGCTTATTATTTGCGCTAATTCTGAATTTTCCATCTCGTGGCTCAGCTGAGCTTGGATGGCACTTGTCACACATGGCTGCTTCACTCCGATACCCGATACGGGTTTTCATACTGAGCGTGTGATACGGGAATTCAAATAATGGGATAAAATGGCCCAAAATCTTCAGGGATAACGTAAACGTTAAACTTCATATCCGATACACTCGACCAGCCTCCCAACCGGCTGCACTCATTCACGGTGCGGACAGGCAGGCGAGCCCGCGGACCACAATGCACAGGACCAGGGGGCCGAACCCGGGACTTTGGCCCACGTCCCCTCGTACAGCACCCCCCTCTCCGTGCAGGGTCACTCTGCAATGGCGACAGAGCCACGCCGCGCTCTGGAAGGCACCATCGCCCAGTAGAGTGGCGAGGCCTTCATCCTTCACTTGGCCTTCATCGCCCTCTTCGAAACTTTCTACCTGTGGAGGTTGGAGAGCGGCCAATCAGCCAGAAGCTTCTAGAAAGGTTCCCGCTGTACACCCACGATAAGAATCTAGTGAACACCACTGCAGCGAGTGCCTCATTTACCTAAATGCTAAAATCAGTATTGCTTAAAATATGTCAGACATAAAAAAATAAAAAAACATAATTTCCACTCACCAAATGCTGCAAAACCTGTAGGACAGATGGAGTGCAACAGTCTCCAATAGCTGCCAAAGCAGCGTCAGTCATTTCTGCAATGTAGCGATGTGCACAGGAGGGTAAATAACAGGTGCGTTTGTGTCTGTAGAAGTGAGACGATGCTGAAAAGGTCATTTTAACAGGCTGCTTTCAAACGTAAACAGCCAGAGCTCTGTTAACAGCCCGAGTGCGACGAGCGGTGACTAAACGTGTCTGTAATGCGGCGCCGCTCACCTTCGATCGCGCTGACCAGCATGTGAACGGCCAGCAAGGGGGAGGAGCCAGACACTTCCCCGGCGGTCTCTCCCTCACCCTTCAGGAGGTCCACAACTGATTGGGCCGTCCGCTTCAGCGGAAGCCCCTCCTCCAGCTGCCCCCAGCCAATCACCTCGCCGCGGTGATGCCGATCCAACTTGTGAGGGGATCAGAAGCAAATGTTTTGCAATACGACCAGACTTTCCAGGAACATAGTTAAAGCTGGACCCGTGGTCTTTCCGGAAGGCGCGTTTCTGTTCCCCATTCCGGCATGCAGCGTTAGACTATAATCCTGCTGGCTCTCATCTGGCTCGAACCCGGGTTTCCTCACTCACCACGTCCCCCAGCCAGGTGATGGCTGCTCTATCCAGCACCATCTCCTTCAGGAACTCAAACAGTCTGCATCTGATATGAGCTGGAATCACCGCCAGCTGCTGGAAATGGACATTCAGCCCCTTCAACTCTGGAGGCAAGTTCAGGTTAGTGACGTCAGACAACTGCTCTGAAGAGGACGCTGCAGAATAATCAAATTAATTTATAAATTTTAGGAAAGTCAACCCATAGGCTTAAAGCATCTTATTTAGATTGTTTTCATCATTTGTAATATTTTATAGTTATTTATAAAGTTTTTACCTTATGGGTTATCCAGTCTGTTTTAATATTGATATACTCTCACCATGAATATAGTCTTAGCTGGTAGAATGGCATTAAGGCAACATAACATTTTATTATTATCATTAAATAAAAATAAGATCCAATAAAACGTAGACGAACGCATAAATATTATGGAACTGAAAGGTCAGTTGGAAAGCTTCAGGCACTGAGTTCCCAACCGAGTTCAGGCCCACGGTGTTTTGTTTCCAAGGGCAGATGGTGCTAAGCGTGACCAGGTGTGACCAGGCGTGACCAGGCTTACACAGTCACTAGGAAATAGTGGGTAAATATGGCAGCTACCTGGCTGCCCTAGGGTAACTGATTTTTTTAATGGTTGTTTCTTGAATCTTGTCTTGACGGTTCTGGCTTATTTCAGGCTACGTACCCACACACCCTCCAGCCCCCCCACCGTGGCAGCTGGTACCTTTCAGTAGAACCTGAAGTGCCGCCCCCTCGGGATTCTGTGGGTCCTTAAATTCCTCCGCAGTCGGTCCCCCAGCCGCAACTCGGGCTCCACTGCTGGAATCCACTTCAAACCCACCCTGGACTTGAGGCAGCAGGCAGAGGTCTGTGGGAGCACAAGCAAACCGACTCGGACTTCTGGGTAATGGAGGGATGCATGACCAACACTAGAGGGAGCCCTTGTGTGCTCACGCCTGACAGTGCTGACAGGTCACTGCACGCCACTGCACCGTCACTGCAGGACAGACAGGTACTGACCATACTTCCCGTGGGCTTTCACTTCAAGCTCGATGATGCTGTAGGCGAGGACGGTCTGAGGAGGAATCTCCAGGGACACTTTGCTGTCCATGTACAGGCTTCCACTGTTCTTCACCGAAACCTGTGACACGTCAGGATTCATCAAGTCAGGGGTCATCAGCAGTGTATTTTGTACCCTATGCCCTATGTTGCTTCCCAGTCTTGATGAACAGAAGACAGATTTTTCTGACTTGATTGAGCTGGATCATCCATGCTCTTGTCGAACAGTATTTTGTGAAGTTACTGTACAAAGCAAGCTTAAAAAAAAGTGAACAAAAAATATATAGAATAATTCTTAAAAACTCTTCTGCAATATTCTACCTATCATACCTCCCAACTAGAATCATTTTCCTAACACACGGCTACAGTAACTTCACTGTGCAGTGATGACGCCGATGTCATTCTGCAGCCACCCCGATCCCTGACGCCTAAACAGCCGGTTGGGAGCCCGTTTCCAGTGAAAGCGACCGTTCCAGTGACTACCTGCAAGACAGCTGCTACACGTCCTCACCTGTATCTTGTGCTTCCGGAATCCCAGGGCTGTAGCGCAGTCTCCCTGCTCCTGGACCTGCTCGTAGATGGTGCACTGCTCAGTGGTCAAAATCCTCTCCTTCACCACTCCAAACGCTTCCTTTTGCTGTTCCCTGATCTGCTTAATCAAGCAGTGCTCCAAATTCATAAGTCTGCCAAGGAAACGGTCATTGTTTCAAACCCTGAATCCGTAACCTCCTTCCGAATAATGGGCAGAGGTGCCATACAGGTAGTTTCCAGACTGACGTTCACTTGGCCTACCTGTCCTTGGACTCCTCCAGAAGCTTCTGAACATCCACCTCTTGTTTCTTCAGGGTGCCAAAGGAGGACTGCAGCATGGAGGATGTCTCTCCCTCCAAGTTTAAGTTCACCGGACTCACTTCTGCATCCAACTTCCCTATCTTGATATCTCCATACATCCCCTCATACTTCAGGAATTCGGATTCCTGTGCGTCTGAGAATGATTCAAACATAAATTTATGTAAATGTTTTGAATTCATAGTACCATTGCACTGTGTGTTTTAATCTAGACGTATATCCTTGGTCCAGTAAAAAATGAAAGGCAAGTACTTGAATCTTAGTATGTAAGAGTGAACGTATTTCTCTATTGGGATAACTGCTTATATCCGTATTTCCCAATTCGGTCCTCGGAGATCCAGTTGGTCAATGTTTTTGCTCCCTGGAGCTGGGAGGGAGCAAACATGTGGACTGTCTGTGGGTCCCCTAAGACGGAACTGGGAAACACTGGTTTATACAGTACAAACTCCTGAAGAGCCCTATCCCATCATGCACGTGACAGGGGACTCTGTGGTTGAGTTGGCAGCCCATCAGCGGATGTACACACTCACAGACAACATGGGCAATTTAGGGTCACCAATCCACCTAACCACATATTTTTGGAGTGTGGTTGGAAACCTGCCATCGTTCCTACATGCAAACTACACACACATACATAAAGCCAGGGACGGGAATCAAACCCACAACCATGGAGGTGTGGGACAATACTGAACCTCTGCACTTGTAGAAAAAATATTATTATACACACCACAGTTTGTTAGTACTAAAGGCTAATTTCAGGGTTCATGTCCTGCCCCTTTTGGTATGTCACTTATGCTAGTGGCCAGCAGAAGTAGCTGCGCGTCCCAGTGTCCCTAACTCCTAGTGTGTTTTCCTGTTCCCCGGGCTGCAGTGTGGCGTAACAGGACAGTGGCTAACTGCTTAGCCTATCTCTCCTTCTATCTTCATGGGTTCAGGTTTGGCCAGAGGCCAGCATTGTATATCAGTTACTTGGTATATTTCTGTGTGGTTCCTTGTTTTGCTCACTGTTTGTAGTATGTTCAGTTTCCCTTGTTTTAGTTGTCTTTGGTGTCTGAACCTTCTGTATCTGTTATTTGACCTCAGCTGCTCCTCGTTGCCCGTAGTTCTTATACCCCACACCTGCACCTTGTTAGTCCTCCTTATCAGTGCATTTAAGTGCCTGCCTTTGTTCTGTTCCTTAGTCAGTCGTTGTAGTTTGCAGCTGTGACTGACTCTGTTTATAGGCGTGCTGTCTCCCCGTGTTTATAGGCGTGCTGTCTCCCCGTGTTTATAGGCGTGCTGTCTCCCCGTGTTTATAGGCGTGCTGTCTCCCCGTGTTTATAGGTGTGCTGTCTCCCTCTGTTTATAGGTGTGCTGTCTCCCTGTGTTGCTACGTGTGTTTCCTACCTACTCTTGGTCTTGTTGCTCCCTGTCTTCGTTTAGTTTTGATCCCTCAAGCTCCCCTTTATTTTCTGTTTCCTCTTTGTGTTCCTTCTGAGTTAATAAAACCTCCTGTTTATTGGAGCCATCCCATGGATTGTTCCTTCTTCATGATGCCCCCATGTAACAGGTTGGTGTAGGCAGGGGTGCCACTGGAGATTCTGGACCCCAGACCAATCTATTTCTTTCTTTCTTTTTCTTTATCTAATCTATCATCCCCCGGGTGGCGGGTTAGTCTGACCATCTGGATGGTATCTGATTTGGCATGAATCCAGTACCGTTTCTACAATTATAATCCCATATGTCTCTTTGAACATACCTGCCTTAATTTCCTTGTCTCCCAGTAACACGTCACTCAGAGTGAAGTCCGATGGTATATATTTTGGTGGCTTCCAGAACCAAACAGGCTTCGACTTCACAACTATTGAAAGGAGAAGCAGCTTGTCCGAGTCATTGAGTCGGGAAACGGGGATCAGACAGCCATCAGGGTCGATCTCTCTGACGAACTTTCTGGTGGCTTTAGCGAACATCTGGAGCGATACAGGAATACAGATGCGATGCAAATGTATGAGTGTCAGCATTTAAGCAAGAAAAAAAGAAAACAAAAAGGTGAATAGATTTTTTTTTTAAGCTGTCAAGCCATATTATAACATTTTACAGCCCGTAAAGTTACATATGCCTCGTCTAGAAGTAAAACATTAACCGAACGTCATCGCGATTAGATCCTTCTGCGTTGAAAGTATCTTCCCTCCATATTTGATTATCAGTAAGTGTTAGTGAAGTCAAAAAGTATTTTTTTTTTCCAGATGGATTATTGCGTTGTCTACTTTTTAAAAAGTGACACTCAGCGGAGAAAAAAAAACAGCTGTGGTGAAAATGCGTTTTTACAGTGTATTGCCGCTCCGTTACATTAGCACGCAGTTAGGAAAACGAGCTTGATTACATAACGCGTGAGTGCAAACCAGGGGGAAACTATCAAAGCAGATCACCAGCATATGCCTTAGAACAAAGTTTGCAGCACTATCGCTTCGACTCCATTAACTTTCTAAATCATGGCCTGTTTACTACGAATATCGTTCGAGAAGAGAAATTAAGTAACTTTACGTATCTTTACCTTTAAAGACTCCGGACCACGAGTTGGGCGATGATGCGGCACTTTAAGCCCGGGGTTCAGATGTACTTAAGGTGGGCGTGTGTGAGCGATGGTGGAAAAGCAGTACAGGCTGGAGGGTGAGGGTGAGGGGAGGGAAGGGAGCGCCGATCGCGCACCGCCCCGCTGGTGACCGGCATTCCGGGAAGTGTGTTTAACTTGGCCACTTCCAAAGCCCAACGCCAGTATAGGAGTATGACTACTGAGTCTCTTGTAGTTTATCATTAATATCCTAAAATATAGATGACGCTCCATCCATCCATTTTCTGTAACCGCTTGTCCTGTTCAGGGTTGCAAGGGACTGGAGACTATGCCGGAGGCTACGGGCGCAAGGCAAGGATGGATGACTCTGGGCGTTAAGTTAATTATATGACTAAATTGAACAATAAAATATGGAACCCAAAAGTTGTTTCATTTCAAGCATTTACACATTAGTGTTTTCAACATTGGATAGATAAGGACATGGCCAGTACAGTGCAGGCAAGATTTTTTAATTTAACAGAAGGTCAACGCAAAATTTCATGTCTTCCTTTTAAATGCCTTGTCCTCCAAACTGCTATTTTTAGGCATGTACACATTTGCTGTCCTTTGGAAAGATAATGAATGAACTGTGGACATCAACTATCCAAAGAGTGTCTCACAGCTGGTCTAAGTGTCAGATTATCAAGCGTGATAATCTCCTCTCACTACAGAGAAAACCCAGGGATATTGTATACCACTCATTGCTTAAGCATCAGCAGTAAAAGTGATAGATTAAAAGGTTAAAAATTAAAACCTTAAACACTAGAATAATATGGTAATTTTCATATAAAATTGTGACTAATGTGGCTATAAGTGCCACTCAGGGTGAAAGTAACTACAATTAGTTCTAATGGTCAAGGAGGCCTTGACTACCAGTTAGTTACCAGCTACCTCTGGTAACTATGAGGGTGAGTTGAAACCTGCTTATGGGCCACGGGAATCGGGCAGATATGAGTGCCTTTCCTTCAGATCGCCGAAAGCAGAAGTGCAACATCAGCTTCCAGTAAAATATATAACACGTTCTTCATAATTCTTCCCCTTCCCTTTTGAGTTATTTAAATAGTAACGGTAACAATACCTGAGATGGCTTTGGCTGACGGGTCTCGGGATGGCGGCACTGCGGTCTCTGGATTTCCCGGCTTTCCACCCGGATTTCACATGGGGGCCGAGCAGCCGCAGTAGCCCTCCATGGCAGAGATTTCACTGCATGGATTATAGTAAATCTAGGTAAACGGTGGAAGATGATATCGATTATGACGACGCCGGGGACACTTTTGTGCGTTAGGCCTGTTTGATTTGCTAGAAGGGAATGTTACACTGTCACTTTAAAGACGAGCTTCAGTTATGTGAACTGAAATCAGTGCAATTCTCTTTAATTTTTCTGTGCAAATCAGTTCAACATTTCTGGAGATTTAGTAAATAATGCTGACAGTCCTCAGAAAGGGTCCTGACTACTGGGATTATAGGCCTATACTCAGGGGTTACTCAGGAGCGTTTACAGCTATTTAAAAGAAAATCAGCGGTCAAATTTTTTCAGGAGTAAAATACTCGGGGCTACAGCCTCAAGTGATCATACCTAACGACGCCCATGGGTGTCCATAAATGAGACGAAGAAAAAATAACGTACATTTTAATTACTTTTTAAAATATAGAAGTAAATATATGTTTAAATGAACTGAATTCAAAATTTGAAATTCTCTGGTTTATATAGTCATAAAATTACTTGCCCCATTCCTGACCATATGACCCACATGTAAATGTAATTGTCCGTACTGACACATTTAGCTGCAATTACTGAAAACAGACGCTTCTTGTAATTGTATTCCCAGACTTAAATGTCCTGTTTAAGCTTGGTTTTAAAATGCATCGTGGGCAATCACAAGTACACAGCGCTAAATGCTTAGTGTAAATGAGTACATCTGATCACTGAATCCACATGCAGCAGTGGAGCACATATCTTGTGCAGTATAATCATTGATGCGTTCTAGATGCATCCCTGACAAGGATGGAACAATAACTGTGGGCTTGGCAGTAACAAAATGTGAACACGACTGGTCAGCTGGACACCTTGCAGATGCATGATACACTCAGGTGTAGTCAGTGATGCATTTCGGTGTTTTGTTTTAACATTGCACAACTTTTCCAGTCTTCTGTCGCCCATTTCCCAACTAAAACTGTTGCTGGCATCAAATTCAAATTGAGCATATATTTCACATAAAGGAAAATTTCTCAGTTTCAACATTTATGTCTATTTCCTGTTAAATATGGGTTTGTATTATTTGTAAATCACTGTATTCTCTTTGTATTTACATTCTGCACAGCCTCCCAACTTTTATGTAAATGAGGATGTGTTTTATAGGTGAAGTATTTTATGGACCTTATTATAATTTAACAACATATGGATGACAATCTGTATGTGTTTTAATTTTGAAACAAGTCACATCGAGATGAAAGAAGAGTCATTTGTGATGCCGCATGAAAGTTACAGCTGCAGAAATGGTGAACCTTATTATAATGAGACAAGTCACAACAAGTTGGGCTTTTAGTAAAGATTTTTTTGGAGTGGTGGGGACAGTAGATTATAGGGATCCGTGGTGTGGGGGCAGTAGGGATTATATTGAGGGATTTGGCTTTGGGGGTTATCTGGGAAATACACTGATCTTCTAATAGCATCTAGGTTGTTTTTCTGTATCATTGTGGAAGTTGTCTATACATGCCTGCTTTAATACAAACACGTCGGTAGGTTTTTCAGGCCTCAGCTTCACAAGACTCCCAGTTAATGTCTAGGCCATTCCAAGAACTTAACTTCCCAGCCTGATTGGCTTGTGCAACTCCTGAGGTACCAGCAGGCCAAACGGCTTTGGCAGCTGCGGAAGCGAAAACTCTGCTGTGGGAGAAGTTTGCTGAGGTCTTGGGGAAAAAAGGCTTTCGGTTGGCCTCAAAAAGATTCTGGCAAACCATCAGCCGACTTGAGGGGGAATCAGGGCTTTACCCGTGCTGTTTACAGCAGGGATGGCGTGCCGGTGATCACAAACGGGGATATGGGCAGGCGGTGGAAGGAGTATTTTGAAGGCCTCCTGAATCCCACTGACACGATTCCTTGGAGGAAGTAGAGTTGGAGGACTCACACCTCGTTTCCACTAACATGGAGCTGGGCTGGTTCTCCCTTGGTGCCTTCTGAGAACCAGCATGCATTTTTACCAGTTTCAAAAAAGAACGGAACGGAAATATTATGTAGGCGGAAGTGAAAGTAAAGTAAAGGTTTAACCTGTATTTCGTATTTTGGAATTATTTTGCCAAACCGAAAAAAGTTTCCTGAGTATGACTCATTGCGCCTTACCTCTATTGCCTGTATCCACTTTTGTCTCCATAAAGGCTCCCATGGCGGTGGAAACACGTGGAACCAGTACCGTATTAGGAAAAAGTCCGGCACCGCCTTGGTGGAAACGAGGCTTCACAGGCAGACTCTAGGGTGGAGGTCACTGAATTAAACAAAAAAAACTTTGGTGGTAATGCTCAGGGGGTGAATGCACCCAGAGTTCCTGAAAGATCTCGATGGCTGTCTTGGCTGACAAGCCTCTTCAGAATTGCATGGAGGTTGGAGACAGTGCCTTTGGATTAGCAGGCTGGGGTGGTGGTCCCAATCTTTAAGAAAGGGGACCAGAGGATGTGTTCCACCTTCAGGGAGATCACATTCCTCGGCCTCCCTGGGAAGGTCTGTGCCGGGATCCTGGAGAGGAGGGTCTGTGTATTCATCAAACTTTGGATCCAGGAGGAAGAATACAAATTCTGTTCTGGTCACAGAACACTGAAGCAGCTCTTCACCCTCACAACAATACTGGAGGGTTCGTGGGAGTTTACCCAACCAGTCTACTTGTGCTTTGTGGACTTGGAAAAGGCATACGACCCTCTCGAGGTGGGGGTCCTGTGGGTGTGCTTCAGGAGTATGGGGTACAGTGTCCCTTGTTATGGGTCTTTATGTCCATGCATAACTGCAGCCAGAGCTTGGTTCACAGTGCCAGCAGTAAGCCAGACTCGATCCCAGTGGGTGTTGGGCTCCGTCAGGGCTGCCCTTTGTCACCGATTCTGTTCATAACCTTTATGGATGGAGGGATGGAGGGGGTCTGGATCGGGGCCCTCAGGAATGCGTCTTCGCTTTTTGCAGATGATGTGGTCCTGTTTACTTCATCAGGCTGTGACCTACAGCATGTACTGGGGTGGTTTGCAGTGTGAGGCAGCCAGGATGAAGATCAGCAGGTTCCCCCCCAGCACCCCTAACCTGAATAGGTGGATAGATGGATGGATGGATGGATGGATGGGTGGATGGATGGGTGGATGGATGGATGTTGAAGATCTGTATTTGATTTTTTTTTTGGATGTTATGGGAAAATATATTAAACATTCTCCTCACAAACAAGTTCATAAGGATAGAAATGTTCCATTTTTTTTAATGCCTTCATATAATTATGAATAACTACCTGTTTATTTTGTTCCTTAATTTAAAACGTGTTAGGTGATTACGCTGCTTCCCTCTGATCCAATATTACATTCTGTCTGAAGATCTGAAACCACTGAGTCTGAGAAATATGTATTAATGCAGGAAATCACCCGTCCATCTTCACCCGTCCATCTTCACCCGTCCATCTTCTGACCACCTTTCCAGGTCGGGGTCATGGGGGGGCGACATGGGGCAGAGGGCTGGGAAGCGTCCTGGGTGGGGTTTGGAGGAACGTCTGCAGCACGTAATAAAAGAGAAATGAAAGGACTGATGAACAATTCTAGTAACTCTGGTAACGTAACATTTTGCCCTTTCTTCCTCTTGTTCTTTTGATAAGTTCATTTTGGTTTGGGCCACACAGGGAGGGGGATTGGGGCGTCTGGCCTAGGATTCTGCTTCTTGAGTGTGTCATGCATTAGATGTGCTCTTTGGTGTAATTCGCTCCTACACTGGTCTGCGCCTCATCTTACATCATGCCTTAATTACCATGCTTTTCGTATAACAGCCCAAGAATATCAACATGAACGTCTCAGCTGATGTCTGAAGTCCTGATTTACATCCTGTTGAGATCGAGGGCTCCCTGGCCAAACGGCATGTCAGTCTGCAACTGCTCTGTACTCATAGCCATAACATCTCGGTAAAACAAACAATTATTCCCCCTTTGTTGGAAACCCCCAGTCTAGATCCCTCTATCTTTAAGAACTACAGGCCCATTTCTAAAGTCCTATTTTTTTTCCCCCAAAACTCTTACAAAAGGTTGTTGAAAAGCAGCTGGGTGTTTATCTAGGGAGGAACCGGCTCTTGGACCCTTTTCAGTCAGGCTTTCGTAGGCGTCACAAACAATTCAATTCAATTCAATTTTATTTGTATAGCGCATTATCACAACATTACATCGTCTCAAAGCGCTTTACAGCATCCCCACCCAAAGCCCCCAGTGAGTAAGCCATAGGCGACAGTGGCAAGGAAAAACTCCCCAGAAGGAAGAGACCTTGGGAGGGACCAGACTCAAAGGGGGAGCCCATCCTCCAGGGGCCGGCAGGGAGAGTCAAACAAAACAAGATGATATGACTAAGCTAATACAGGTGTTGAAATATCAGTCTCAATGCAGCAGCCGACCGGTGCAGGCACGTGGTGCTTGATGCACGATGGCAGGATTAATAGACACACAGCCGCAGGATGGATGGCGAGGCATCGTGTTGAGCCAAGGGCAGGCAGGTTGGAGGGTAGTTGCCGTAGATGGAGGTAGTTGTCTTGCAGGCCGCAGAGGCATAAATTCAAACAACCATCCTTAAAGTGTCTAATGATCTGTTAATGGCTGCCAACTATGGGGAATGTTCTGTGTAAGTGCTACTTGATCTTAGATTGGTTGATCATACCTCTCTCTTAAATGGATTAACACACTCTGTGGGCATTGCTGGGTCACCTTTGATCTGGTTTGCCCGTGTCGGATCTCTCGTTGCTTTCTCCAGTTAAACCATTCCAAGCTGTGGGCTGCGGTTTCTGTAGCTGAGATGGAAATGCTCATTCATGCATTTATCTCCTCACACTTAAATGAATGCAACTCACTTTTTACTTGCCTTAGTAAAGCAGGTTTATCTCACCTCCTTTGATGAATGCTTCCACGGTCAATCCCTCCAATATATCCCCGACCTTATGCAACATCAGTCCTGCAGCCTTACAGTACTTTGATATCTATTCAGTCGTTTTCCTTCCAGTTCCTCGGACCAGATTAAAGACCCGTGGGGATCATACATGTCAGCCTGTGGTCCCAAGGTTCTGGTTCAGTGTCACTAAGCTCTGCTCCATTAACTGAGGTTAAGAAGCAACTCGAAGCATTTCTGTGTAAACGGGCATTTGGATAATTTTACTGTGGCTTTATTTCTAATTTATGTTGCTTGGATTTCGATATTTTACAGTTTTCTATGCATGTCGCTCAGCGCCTTGTGACCTTTGTCTGTGAAAGGTGTATAAAGAAATGTTACTTACTTCTTAGGTTCCACCCCACAGTCCAAAAGACAAAATGAGGTGAACTGGAGTCATCAAGCTGTGTGTGTTAATTTGACGTTGTAGGGACCACTTTTGCAGTCTCAATATTATAAAAATCTGTGAGTGCAAATCAAAATGCTACAAGTCCCATATTTCGTTTTGTTACTTATAGTTAACGTTAGAGCTGGGTGGGGTCACTGGCGGATAACTCCACAGAATCATTTTAAAAGAAAGTGATTGGATTCCTGTGGATGGTATCATAACGCTTATTTTATTTGACCAGACAGTGTATATACAGGTATGGTCCAAAAATTTAACATATAGGAATAAACTCAAACAGGGTTTTAACATGTCATGACACCCCAAGATATGTAAATTTAATAACAGCCCAGTCCATCCCATCACCACTGGTTTAGTCACATCCTGGTGACTTTTGGGGATAACAGACCAAGCAGGGAATGATGCAAACAGTCTCTGACACTGTACCCAGCCATGTCATTCATGATCTCCATGTTGCACATTGTATCTGCCAGCAGAGTTACTACAGAGTATAGGAAAGTTTCATTTTCAGAGTATATATCAAACGTGTGTATAAGTCACGCACACAGGCAAATGGCATAACTGTAGAACAATTGAGATGTTACTTGTAGAATGGAGATGCAGACTGATAAAAGACAGGATTGTTTCTTAAAAGCTTGAAAATTGTTACCTCCTACTGCCACATATCATTTGTACAAATTCAAATATAATACATAAGTACAATGTTTTATCAAGTTAAGTGGGTAAGGCTTTAAGGAAGTGTTCAGTCTTTCCAAAACACTACAGCCACTGTTTCAAACATCAAAACCACATTTATGCCATTTCACATTGGAGGTAGAAAATCTTAAGAGTTAAGACCGGATCTTACAGTGTACATCTTTACTGGCAAAATAATCCAGGGTGTGATCATAGACTTTTCATCTGAATATTTTTTTGCCATCTGTACCAGTGTGTAACCACTAGAGGGCGCACATGCCTCAGGTGATTCTCTGTGCAGCAGTCAGTGACATCAGGGACATCGAACAGAATCCCAGGTTGCATATTTTCGCTACATTCAGAACATGTGTTTTCATTTTAAAAACGCTACATGGTTTTGGAAAGCACTCCATATTAAGGCATTAAACCAGTGAGGCAGCAGCAAAGCACGACACAATGAACAGCAGACGAGTGGGAGGCGTCGAGCGCTGGGAGACGCGTCGGCCAGCAAACCGCGTCACCAAAGCACTGGCCAGTCCAGACTGGCAAACCCGGGGTCTTTTCTTAGGTCCCAGTAAGTGTTGTTGCTCACCCAGGTGTCATCTTTCAACTTCCTGTAAACACAGAGACAAAACACAGCTAGCGGATTAACCATAGATGGCTGAGGAAATCTTAAAAATAAGCCGTGCGCGGATGGAGGTGGACAGTGGTGAGTCTGGCGTGACATCACGGGGGGGGCTGGGGGGGGGTCTCATACTTGAAGAATCGGGGTTGGTGCGTCATGTTGTTCTCCTCCAGAACCTTCCGCCTGTCCCTCTGAAGTTGCTCTATCCTCTGCTTCTGCTCCTCCGCCGCCTCCACGTTCCCGTCTTCCAGCATCCTGACACAAGGCGAGGGAAGCGGGCAGGAGAAAAGCGTCACAGCAGCTCGCATCGCGGCCCAGCGCCTCACGGACATCTGATCTGTCATCTGAGAATGACAGCTTCTCTCGCTCTCCCACTGGGGTCCAGCACAAGCAGCAACAACTTTCGCCTGCGTCCACATCTGTACCAACATCTGCTACAGTCCGCTGAGGCCCGTCGCACAAAGCAGACACTGCTTGTATAAGACGTACCACTACTGCTCCATTTGTGGAGACACAAATCCCTGCACAGCTAATAACTCAAAATCCTGGGACCCTGAGAGAATACAAATATATGAACATTATCTTCTTTTGTTTTGTTTATCAGCTGTTCGGCTGTTTATCAGAGTAGAAATCACTAAGTGTAGATTTCACAAAAACTCCCCACGGACCCAGCAAAGCAAACATGAGGCAGAAGATACTTAAGGCTGCGCAATGGCACAGACAGCACTGTGGGCACCGGTCAGAGGCAGCCGGCGGGAATTCTGTGCTGCCTCGTCTCCTCTCTCTACCTTTGGTCCAGTCGCAGCCGGCTGTCGGTTGGTGGAAACAGTGCCTTTGTCTCGGGGTCCAGTTCATTCAGCTCAATGGCAAACGTGGTGAAACCGTAGTACTGCTCGTAGTCTGGATGCATTGCATCTAATCACATGCGATAAATAAGTTCAGCCTGGTTATTCTTGTCTGTGTGCAACAGAATATACAGGGTAACCATAACCCTATAAGCTGCAAATAAAAACAGGACAATGTCGGGATGGAAATGCTCATTGTGTATGTGCCCTGTGATGGACTGGCCCCCCCCTGCAGGCTGTATCCCAACTTTGCAATTTGTTTTGTCTGGGATAGATTTCAGCCACCCCTCCCCTGCATTCATGACCAGAATATGTGACTAGAACGTGGATGGATGGATGGATAGATGGATGGAAGGAAGGAAGACCGGAGCCCACTTGGTTGTCACTCACTTGTTCTCCAGATGCAGCTGGCTGATGATGGCTCGCCACAGTAGATGCCCTCGTGCCATTTTCCATAAAGCTTGCGGATAACGTTGCCCTTGCTGTCGGTGACTAAACCTTCCACGTCATTCACACTTGAGTTCCAGTATTTTGCCTTCAGTCCACATTCAAATAAATACGGGTCAAATGTATTCTGGTCATTAACTAACAGTTCCTGTCCTGTGCAAATAGTATGTTGCAGTGCAAAGTTACAGTATGGTGTCATTGCATTCTTGGTTCATTCTACATCAAGTCAACGCAATCGCTTATAGAAGACACATAGACTTTCTCAAAATGCACTACTGGTAGTGCGATGAGGGGCTGATTGGAAGGAGCCTCACCTTGAGAAATGTGACCTTGCACTGACAGGCATCACTACTGTGGTTCTTGATAGTTATCTCGCCGTAGTGTTCGATCCACCTCTGACCGCTCATTATGTTGTGGATGCAGGAGGTGACTTTGTCCCACTCATAGTGATCTCCAGACCTGGGGTGGAGGAGGAGGGAGTGAATACTGGTGGGGGGTCGGCACCTGTGATGAAAACAATGGGTAGAAGACTCACGGCAGGAGAATCACGTGTGAGGTGCCGACTGGAACAATCTCCATGGACTTCCCCCAGAACTTGTTCTTCCATCGCATGTCTGAAATCGTCAAAGACCAGCAAACATAAGACACGTCGCTTGCCGACGACTGAACAGAATGTGGCTCAGACCCCTAAACCTCGAGCAAACGGCGGTGAGCCGTGGCCGGGGACATTGATGGGAAGCCAGCAGCGGTGACAGCGTCGTGTCGTGACACCACGCGCTACACGTCACCGTTACCTTCAGATTATCGTCACGAATGATCGCTCACCTTGCCAAAAGGTGAAGTTTTTGGAATCGGCATGACATGCTGATATAGGGGGATGGTGGCTGACCTGAGAAGATAAAGAGGTACAGATGCTGTTTTAACTATCAAAATATGTCCATCCATCTATCGGTTTATCCACCCACTCGTCTTCCAACCGTTTATGCTGGTCAGGATCTCAGTGGTCCTGGAGCCTGCACAGGGCATGAGAGGTATATCCTGGATGGCATGCCAGTCACCTTACAAAAGTGTTTTCTCTATAAATAACTTAATATGCAGGTCACAGCAGGCTTTTGGCCTATATTACTCTGGTTTTCAACCTTTTTTACACTGAGAACTACTTTAACAAAAAACATAATCCAGGGAGCTACCAAGTCATGACCTGGGGGGGTAGACCAAAGATGACTTTAAGATCAACCGGTGTGTGACTACTGTTATAATAACGCTTCTGTATGAGACTTCTTTAATGTCTTAGCTACCGGAGTCTTGTGCAATAAACCTCAGTCTGTCACATTCCCCCCCCCCCCAGATTTGAGCTTTGTTCAGACTGACTGCTATGCTAAGAGTCTGTTTTGGTGCCTCAGGCGCTTACGGACTTGTGGATTTGTATCTTGGGCTTTTCGTTTTTCTCTTGTCTGATAATTTATTTTTCCAAATTTAAAAAAACATCATGTCAAATAAATGAATTCAGTGAAATTCATAAAGTGTAAGCACTGTAAGATACAGGAATTTGGGGTGAGACCGGTACAGGGGCTATCAGTACCAGAGCTGAGAGACCGCTCCTCTCAGGCTGATCCAAAGTCAGATTCTGGTTATTAGGGCTCCGGGTCGTTCCAGCGGCAGGCAGCCATGTGTCTCTGACTAGCCGGGTCTCATTCTCATGTGTCGCCTTTTTAGCATTAAAGTTAACTAGGGGTGGCCAATCTTATCCACAAAGGGCCGCTGTGTGTAACCAGTAGGTCAGCTGTTCAAACCCAGGTGTGAGGACTCTTCAGCCAATCAGTCCTCTAATTAGTGACCTAATTAGGGAGTTGCAGCAAAAACCCGCATACACAGCGGCCCTGTGTGGATAAGATTGGCCCCCCCTGAAGTAAACCTACTTGCCTCCTTCAATCCTTACCGGCCCACAGAGGGCGCCAGAACACCGGCCCACAGAGGGCGCCAGAACACCGGCCCACAGAGGGCGCCAGAACACCGGCCCACCACGCCACCCTGCATGTCTTATGTAAGGGCACTGCTTGGCGATTTCAGCTCAGTTTCCACACAGTCGTAGCTCGACAGCTTATCCTAAAGCTGCCCCAACTGGGCCTGAAAGCATCGCTATGCAATTGGATTTCTGACAGAGAGATCACAGTCTGTCAGGTCTGGGGACATTAGCTCCGCTGAAATCAGACTGAGCACAGGAACCCCCCAAGGCTGCTGCCTCAGCCCTTACTGTCCACACTCCTGACGTCAGACTGCTCTGCCAGGACCATCTAATCACATCATACCATGTGCAGACGACACCTCCATGATCTGAGTGGAGGAGATAGAAAGTGAGCGAGCAGCTTAACCTCCACAACCTTCTGTACATCAGAGGCTCCTCAGTCGACAAAGCTGAGAACATTAAATTACATTAAATCTCTTCACCTCAGAGAGGATCTCCTCTGGACCAGCACATATCCTTCCTGGCCCAGAAGATCCAGCAGCGATCTCACCTCCTGTGGCTCTTGGGACAGGCGAGAATACCACCTCCCATCCGGTCCACCTTTCACAGAGGCACCATCGAGACTGTCCTATCAAACTGTATCTCGGCCTGGTTCGGGTCCTATAACGCCTTGGACCACCAGTCCCTCCAACGGGTCAGCAGAACAGCAGAGAATATTGCCAGGACCATATTAAGGCAGGAACAGGACCTTCTCTACTGGACATTTACAATGGCTGCTGCATCCAGAGGACCACTGGCATCATCAGCAGCCCATCGCACCTCTAGGACTATTCACTGCAGATCAGTTTGGCTTCTCCCAGCTTCAGTCTGGGACTGTTAAAGGGACTGAGAGCTCTGGGCTCACATCTCTCAGACTATTCACTGCAGATCAGTTTGGCTTCTCCCAGCTTCAGTCTGGGACTGTTAAAGGGACTGAGAACTCTCTCAATCTAAATCTATTTAATTATTGCACGTTCTGCTTCAATACCAAACTTCTACACTCAGAAAAAAGTACCAATTTGTACCTTTGAGGGTATAATCACCTGTCACTGGGGCTGTACCCTCAAGGGTCTGCCAATTGTACCCTCAGCTGTAGGTAAATGCACCTTTGTCTTAGTATTTCAAATCTAGTTATTACTACCTATTCTTCATTAGCACTAAAACCAAAGGAGTGTCTATCTGACACTGACAATCAAAGATACTTTGAGGAGCGGAGACAGAGAGGTAAGAATAGGGGAGCCGGTGTAACACTGTCACTTGAGGGCGGCAGGTTTCATTAGAGTTAACAAGGTTCCTTGTCCCTTTAAGATGATGTCACCGATGGCCTAAACCTCAGTGACCAAGGAGCCACCTCAGCTGCTTGGCCGTCAAAGCAGCAAGAGCACCAGACGCTATGCTAATTAGCGGAGGTGTTCATAAGCTTTCCGGAAAAATACATGGTTTCCCTCCAATGCTGATGCACGAAGGTGGGCTGATGAGGGACCATAATTCATTAATCACTGGCTTCTGTCACCTGAACCCCCCCCTTTGGTCCCACACAGGTGATGGCAGTGGCTTTGGGTACCTAGATCAAGTGGCAACAAACTAGAATGAAAAAAATGTTTGTGAATTCATTCACAAAGCGGATCCATCTGTTATTCATCTGGTGTTTTGTTTTCATATTATTTTTTGCTAGATTCAGGAGATGCATCCCGGAACCGACTGTCCTGGAGCCCAGGTTCCGAAAGGGTAGTTCTTTAATAATTCATCAACGAGGGACGGGGAAGGCAACTTTGTACATGACCTTTCTCAGTAATGTTCTGAGGGCAACAAGCACAGGGTGGAAGGGTGGGCCTTCTCCCAGCAGAAGGCCTGACTTGCTGGCGCAGTGGCAGGATGTTGTCCAGGCACAGTGCACTTCACGCCCCCTGGGGGGCGCCGCCTCACACTGCACACTCACTACCCAGCTCTCAACGCACCCCAGAGATTTACAGTGTTTTGTCGGCCATGGAAACAAGGGCGGGAGTAGGGGGTTTGTCGTCTCTAAGTGCACTTAACGCATGGCAACCCTCGGGGTACGCTGAGTCGATTAAGGTCGCCAAGTCTTGTGTGGTATTATGGGATGTGCACCATGCACTACATGGCTTGTTTAACATTCGGGGCGGAGAGGCATACCTGCTCAGCGATGAAGCGGAATCCCTTGTCCGGCCGGTCACACTCGTACGTCTCCCCCAGCACGGGGTTGAATGGCTTCCCGGCAGCTCTGTAGTAGCTGGCGGCGTAACCCGAGATAGCGAACGTGGCGATGTACACCTGCAGGCGCAAAATCTCATCACGCCGGTGCCTCCCAGCGACCGGGCAGCGGACAAACCCCTCGGACACACGCCCCAAACAGGAAACCCCTAGTCAGCCGAACTAACGGGAGCTGATTAAGCTCAGCAGAAGCGAGGCACCGAGGCAGCGGTGGTTCCGGAAGGCCCGGCGTCCATGCCGAGTTTCCTCGTATCTCCCCACTATCTCGACGCCCCACTTGTAAGCCAACCGCTCATGAGCCAGCTGGAAGTACAGAGTAACTGGGTTATAGGGAAACTCACACCCCCCCGCACTGGCTCCCTCTCAACTAGCGTAATAGCGGAGGGTACATTACAGCCCCACTAATAGCTGGATGTTAGTGTCTATTACTTCCTGAGTGGAAATTCCTCTTGCCAAACACCGACACTAAGCTCCAGGTTATCCTGCACTGAAAAACCCACAAGCGCATTTCCAATGCTGGCATTAGGGCCCCATCGCCAGCAGACGGCTTCCCGCGTTGGACGGCCAGCCACCTGCAGCTGGGAGGGGACCATGGGCCCGAGGACGGCCAGAGACGTTACATTCAATCCACCATGCTGACTGGAGCCTAACCTATGGCTGGACAATCTGCTATCCAGGAAGCACGCGTCAGTGAGCAAGACAACGGGAGGGGCTACGGCTGGCACAGGAGGGCGCTGTTGTCACAAGTGAGTTCCTACGGATACGCGTGTTAGCGCGTTAGCACGTTAGCACGTTAGCACGGCCCTCACCATGCGCTCGAATGGGTCCGCCGTGCCGGCGGCCTGGTCCAGAAGCTCGCTGTACTCCAGCTCCTCGCACAGCCGCTGCAGCGTGTTCAGCGGCTCGTTCAGCGCCACCGGCATGGCCACCTTGGACAGGTCCTTGCCGATGTTGTTCTTCAGGATGTTCCACAGGCTGATGTTGCTGGTGTTGGGGCTCGGGGCGGGTAGGCGCGACCTGCGCTGCCTGTGGGGGGCGCCGTTCTCCATGCAGGCCGGCGGCACGGCGCACACATCGGCCTCATCCTTATGGAGGGCGGCACCACGAATCTCACGTGCACCAGCAGGATCACTTAAAATACTTTCGGACGTGGCTGCCCTCGACCTTCGCCCGGAGCTGCGGGGTAACCCTGAAATATGATAATAACATTTATCACCAAGACTGATTTTAGATCTGATTTGCAGCCAATGATCTAGTGTCTACTCCATGTTTTCTCTCTGTCTTTGCTCGCCTGCCCAAATGTCAGAGAGGGGAAGGGGCCTCCGGGTTGAGTCCTGTGGAGTAAACCGGGATTCCCTCCCCAGGCCAAAAGCGCTTCAATGCTCAAGAGAGTCTGAACGGCTCTGCTGTTGGTACCCAGCATGCTTTGCCTTTGACGTGGTGCACATGTCAAGGGATACCATGAATTCAACCGTAAATATGCGCATGCAGCCGAAAATACTCCCCGCGTCACGCCAGCGTACGCCGTACCTGGGTTGGCTCTCTCGCCCTCCGCCCCGTTGCTGAGGTTCTCCACGGAGAGGTTGTCACTGACGTCGCTGATGCATGAGTCATCGTCAGAGCCCTGGAACACAGCGATTAATTATTACCGAGCTTTGGCTGCACGCTGACAGGTAAAACACACCTTCCAGCATCGCTCCCCGCGAGGACGTTTGCAGCAGTTAACGGATCAGCTGACTGACGATAAAGAAGGCATCTTGGGAGTGGCGGGGGGGGGGGGGGGGGTTTCAGAGGAAGTCGCCTCCCTTGGATTTCTGTATCGGTGATAACAGTTTTATGACTCAGCTTCCTGCTGAAGTGTTTTCAGAGGAGGGCAATTAACTTCAGAAGAATTTTTTTTTTTTATTGAAGTTGTGTAGATGAAGACGTATAGCCATTTCTTTTTTCGAAATGCTTTGAAAGTTCAGAGTAGCCTTTTACCATAATCTGAAGATCATATCATGCTTGTGTTTTCTCATCTGCTTTGATCTTAAGGTCTCCTGTTCATCAGGAGACTAATTATGCTTTAAGAGAGCATAAAAACTATAGGAGCTGAGTCATGGTAACCAAAACATATCATAGACCCAGCCAGACGCAGAGAAGGGGTTGTGTTACTGACTTGGTACAATGTGACGCTGGGAAGGCCGTGTGACGACTCCACTGGGATCCTTTACCTCGTTCTCAGAAGAGCTGGCAGACCGCAGCACTTCCCGTGCGTCAAAGAACTCCGACAGCGACTCCGAGATGGACGCCCTGCTCTCATTGGACACTTGGTGGATGAGAGGATGGGACTCATCTGTCGAATCCTGCTTCTGGATCTACATACAGAAAGCAGAAACACTGCTTCTGGATCTACATACAGAAAGCAGAAACACTGCTTCTGGATCTACATACAGAAAGCNCTACATACAGAAAGCAGAAACACTGCTTCTGGATCTACATACAGAAAGCAGAAACACTGCTTCTGGATCTACATACAGAAAGCAGAAACACTGCTGTGTTTATGCCAAGCACCTATGAATATGTATCGAAGATGATATGAAAACTGACAGCTAAGAGCTATTAATAAAGATTTTAGTTTGTAACCATCATTTTTATTAAGTAAACAGTGCAGGTAATTTACAATTCAAACGGTGAATCACACCAAAAAGTAACAGAAATGTGCTTAAAATGAAAGGACCCAATGATATGCACAAAAGCAGATGAATCATGAATCATCTTAATGCTCAAAAACAGGATTTACTGTCTTAAAGGAACATATTATGGCAAAACAGTGAATGGGTACAAACAATCATGTCAGAGCTTCCATATTTTAATAAAAATAGCCAATAATGAATCAAATTAAAGCACAACAACAGTCTTTCTGATATAAATTATAGCAAAGTATTTAAAATATAATTTGTGATAGAGAAAAAAAACCTAATATAATATTCATTTAGAACTTGTGCTTTCGTATAGATTTTTCAGCAAATGAAATGGGCTAATAAATTATTAAGTGAATAATAGATACTATGGGAAAGATTCTAGCAAGAGGGAGCTAGAAGTATTTTTACAGCAATCTGAATAAAGTCCGTTTTAAAATGTGTTTATAAAAGAACACTATGAACAAGTGAGCTGGACCAGCTCTGTTTTGCCTGCTTGACTCAATGATAAAAATGATTAAAGAACTTTTTCGTAAAGTTACCACTGAGAAGCCAACAGGCAAGATGGTTATTATGAGTCACATAAGCAAACGCTTTGCTTGTTCAGGGAACATGACTTTGTTCACTCATTCACTGTGTTTATCCACAGCTATCAGTGGGTCTTATTGGTACAAACCAGCAAACCAGCCCTGTGACCCTGCCTAGGATAACTGGATAGAATATGGATGGATGGACGGATGTATGAGGAAACCACATCCATTACAGGGAATGTTTTTCATGAGATCAATGGCATTAGCATGAAATTCACTCGTGACCTTTCAGGGGAAACGCCCATAATGTTGCGATCTGCGCCGTTTGCATTGAGCCGGCAACAAAAATGCAGCAACTCGGCTCAAACAAACCACACCAAGCACGCAACTCCTGATCTGAAATCTCCGGACTTTCACAGCCAGACTGACGGAGGTGACAGCAACGCCGACACGAACGTGCAGTACCCACACCAACCTGCAGGGGGCCAGTGTTGCCAGTAAAACGCACGGTGGGCTCTGTGAAGCATGATTCTGCGTGAATCTTGCCAAGTCGCTCTTTCAGTTCAGAATTTTGGGCTATGGCCTGAAAGACACATTGGGTGCAAATAATATCTTAATAGCTTGTCACTAAATACATTCAACTTCTAGAAAATTCAAAGAAAATACACAAAAAATGTCAGGCAAAAATACAAATGTATGTTTTAGTAAAATTAAGGTAGTTGTGATCGGTGACATCAGATGATTTGCATCCATTGCAGAATTAAACATTTAAAAAATTTATGCAAAAATTCCATAATTATGAAGAAGCTGAATCCATAAGAGAACATCACAATAAATGTATTAAAAGACAAAGATATCTTTGAGTTGTTACTCTGTGGTCATTTGTGCTACTTACCCCAGGAACAGAATGTTTGACTAACATTCTGTTACTTAAAGATCCTATTCTACAAAACTCATGAATATCAACCCAAGGTGGTGGATTGAGAAGCTAACTGACGGGAACCTAATTCAGGTGATGGCAGAATTTGCAGCCCATTCACAAGGTAAAACAGGAATAACACAACCAGACAGAAGGACCTCCATTACATCATTATATGCCAGAGAGACACGGTGGCTGCTGATTTCAGTCAGAGTGCTATTTCAGATCTAGAGTTTCAGTCCAAATTTAAAGACTTCTATCTTAAAGCACAACATGTCTCTTGTTTTTTTGAAGGTCTGTGGAGCCAGAGAGAATTGAGAGAAGGCAGGTCTGCATTATGCATGAAGCCCCTGTCTACCCTCAGTCTGGTGACTAACACTGGGCAACAGAGAGGAAACAGTTACACTCAGAGGCAAACCAGCTGCAACCAAACGCCAGCACTTCAAAGGGAAGATGAAGTCAGCATCGGAGCTGACTAGTAGCGGGTGGGATTCAAGCTACAGGCCTGACACTCCACCTGGTCTCAGCCGTCTGCAAAACTACTAGAATTTCAACAGAAAGGGGCATCATATTTAAGGGACTGGGCAAACAATGAGTTGATAGTTGCAATCCAAGAAGGGGATCGGTTAATTTATGTCTCCTCAGATAAAAATGCAGAGGAATACATAAAAATGAATGAAATTCATATAGTATGTATGTTTGCTTCAAATAGAAGTGTTGCTATGTGAGTGAATGATGCAACATAATAGGTAAAATAACCCAGTTGGAAGGAGGAGAACATCTCAAGCTGAGATGCCACCTGGGGGGTGGGGGGGCAACAACCCCCATGTCTCTTTCATCCAGCCAAGCTCAGGGCATTATGGGAACGAGGGGCTTACAGAAGCGAGGGTGCTCTTCAGCCCCAGGACCTGGGTTGAGGGAGTCTCCTGGTCTAGCACTTGTTTTAGCTTCTCCCTCTCTGCAGACAAAGTGCTAAAGGCAGACTTCAAGGCTGCATGCACTGCAACGGAAAGAAGAGAGACATCAGTGTGAAGCAGTACTTCAACAAAGAGGGAGAGATCAGTGTGAAGCAACACTGCAACAGGGAGGTAGAGAGACATCAGTGTGAAGAAATACTGCAACAGGAAGGAAGAGACATCAGTGTGAAGCAGTACTTCAACAAAGAGGGAGAGACATCAGTGTGAAGCTTCAGTACAACAGGAAAGAGGGAGACAACCAAGACAATCCTCACTGCATGGAGGAAAAGGGAGACACCTTATGAAACCTCACTGCAAGGGGAAAGAATGAGACATTTGAAGTAATTTTTACTGGAAGGGGAAAGAGGCAGACACCCGTGTGAAGCCTCATTGCAAGGAGGAAGAGGGACACACCTGGGTTAATCCTCACTGCACAGCATCAGCCTGAGAAAGAGCCAGACAACAGCTCTAGCAGTGAGACAATTTGCGTCAGAACATCTGCTTCATTCCCCGATACCCCCTTCTGTCCCTCAAATGGCTCACCAAAACCGAACGTCTCATTAACAGCATGCTCCAGAGAAAGATGCAGTGTGTTAAATATACCCGCAGGATTACATGGGCCTGCCAAAGGCTCGTTTGAGGTTAATGAAGAAGAACATCTCTTGATGTAGAGGTCAAGTAAAGACATCAGCCAGTATTAGCTGTACCAGGGATGAAAAGATTAATAAAGCTGCTAGAGCACAGAGAACAACATGTGCTGGGAATGGTTCAAAACACACGGCCATAATAATGCCGTGTGAAGGAACCTTTAAGTACTGAAAATGTGAGAGGTGTAGAGGAGGTAGGAGACTGAATGAAAAGAGATGGTGAGTGAGAAAGAACTGAGACAGAGGGATTCCCCAGCACCTTTTCAAAGACACATGAAACCAAAGCAGACCACAGCCAAAGAACCATCAACGGAGAGGACCCTGCTCAGGCGGTGTGGCCTTTAGACCAAACCTTCAACTGAGGGGTTGCTCTGAAGACAAAAACCAATCAGATCCTTTCAGAAATGTAGACCTTACATCCACGACGGGTTGAGAAAAAGGTTTTTGTTGAATTCCATCCGCCCCCGAAATGCATAAAGCAAAATTAGCAAGAGTGATAGGGAAAATCCATCCATGTTGCTTCCAACCACTTATCCTGTGAGGGTTGTGGGGGGGGGGGGGGGGGGGGGGGGGGAGGGGAGCCTATCTCAGAGAGTACAGGGCACAAGGCAAGAAACACCTTGGATGGGATGCCATCATAATAGGGTTGAATCAAAATAAATTCAGGTGCACACAAAACTCTAAAGTAAGAACTCAGCAAACGACACAGAATATATGCAGCGACTAAACAGTATAAGCTTATGCTGTAAATTAGTGAGAACACATAGGAGCCAAAGGTAAGAATGAAGAACTCCAGCATCAGAAATGGATACTGCAAAAAGACAGGTCCAGTAAAACCACAAGGCAATGATCATATGAAATGAAGTGGAAATCAAAACACAGAGATATATATTTCAAGGCATGCTGACGAAACCCAAACTAAACAAGCAAACGATTACAAACGGAGGCTGACGCCACTGCTTGTTGGTTACAACACTGCTCATGTTTCGTTTGTCACAATGACTGACCGCATCATAGCAGTCACATGTACATCCTGAGTGTCTTCAAATGGACAGTTTGTCTGTAAATTTCTCTACAAAGCCCTTTCATTTCCAAGATAATGTAATATATCAACAAGAGTCTGGCAGACTGGATCTATAGGAATGCATCTATTCATGCTAGCCATACCCGTCTCCAGGCCGGCGTAAAGTGTGTCCTCACATTTCCAGAAGGAGAATGACCATTTCAAAGAGACTCAGGCCCAGTTTACACTTGGTGTTACTTCTGTGTCTATCATGCATCTCCGACTCGTCCAGCTGACCACCTGTGTTCAGACTTCATTACTGCCCACATCACTTCCGCTAGAAGGTCAAATGGCCCTGCACACAGTTCTTGTGACGTCCTTGTCTGGGTCACATCAAGACACAATGGTCTTCACACTGCAAAAGGTATGTGGTCAAATGTCCCTGACCACCTCGGCAAGTGGCTTGAGTGATCTGATCGCAATGCGTCTCTGTGGTGGATTACACTCGTATTTTGCACTGTCCACTTGGGATCCGATCATCCAAGGCACATTTTAAAACCAAGTGTATAGATGTTCCACTATTCACAGATTTTTCTTAATGTTTATCCAATATATACACTGTGTCAAAGCGAGGTGAATCAGGTATGTGAATATGTGAATGTACATGGACACATTAGTGAGCTTCCTAGGTGGGGGGGCGTCATTCTTACGCAGGACTCACGTGAGTCTGCAACCCGGCAGAAGTCCTCCTGCAGTTTGGCCGCGTCGGGCGGTGAGTCCAGTGCTTCCGGGTCAGCCTTGTCGAGTCCCGTCTCCACAGAAGACAGGTTCGGGTTTGAGGAGTGCAGTCGCAGGGAGCTGGATGAAATGCAGCTCGGAACCTGATTTTGATAATGGGGGAGGGGGGGAGGCACATGTGAAACTGACAGGGAACTGACAGACGATACAGCAGGGGGCCAATGACACATGTCGAGGATTCATTCAGACAGAGACAAAAAAACCACGCTGACTGAAACAAATAGCTACTGACACCGTAAGTAACGCAGAAGCATAGCAAACACCTGGACGCTTGGGGTGTAACATGAACCGTCGTTGCGGAGGCACACGCCTAAACAATGCCAAACGAGAACAAACACGTACTGAACGGCCGCCTGTTTTCTGCCTGACCTTACCTGTAGTGTTGTTTTGTTATCTTTACCGAAATTCTTCGTCCGCCATTTCCGGGACGCCCTCTTTTCCTTTTTCGGGCTGTCCAGCGTGGCCTACAAGCGCCACAAAGGAGGGAAAACGGTGCCACAGGCTGATCAATAAGCGCAAGTGTCTCTTACACTCTGTTTACAATACGAGTTGTATTTAGACTTTTCTCTTTTTACTAAGGACCTCCTGTTTCCCAGCAAACTAAATACTTGATGTCATGAATATCATGGCGTTTCTTGAATTTCACATGAAGTTTGATAACATTCATTTTAAACAGTGGAATGAGAAGCAGAATCTTTGTGGCCGCCTGAGCCCAGTCCTTCCCCTGCGGTCCCCACGGCCTGGGCACCTGCAAGGCGTTGATGGCTGGGGCAGAGTATGTGCGGTGCAGCACCTCCATGCTCTTCAGCAGGTGGTGGAGCTCCAACAGGTAGGATTCACACAGCGAGAGCTCTGCCAAAACAGGTGGAGAGGTAGGAAGGGGTAAATGTGTCAGCAATGTCTCTCCAATGGGTCGAGGGTTAGCAGGGCTCACCTTTTGTACATCGATCCATGTCTTCGGAGGACTGCAGCCAGGCCGTCACCTTGGCTTGGCTGCTGAAGGCCTGAGGGATGATCGCTTCATGGGGAATGGATGCCTGACAACAGGAAGAGACGCAAAAATAACACAAAGGCATTGCGTCAGAACCTCTGCTTCATGCAGACATAAACAGTGCCGGTCCCGTAATAAATAATGAAATGACCTGAATAGATTATCACCACTGCAAAAGCGACAGATACAAGCAGTTCTTGAGCAATGCATATAACCCAAAAATATACTAGTAATGCTTACTAATTAAAGAACACATACATCGATCAGCCATAACATTAAAACCACCTGCCTAATATTGTGTACGTTCCCCTCGTGCTGCCAAAACAGGTCTGACTTGTCGAGGCCTGGACTCCACGAGACCAAAAAGGTCTCCTGTGGTATCAGGCACCAAGACGTTAGCAGCAGATCCGTTAAGTCCTTCATGGTTTGGACGTGTTTATCCAGCACATCCCACAGTTGCTCAATCAGATTGAGATCTGGGGAATTTGCAGGCCAAATCAAAACCATTAAGGTCTCCCAGCAGAACATCGCCCAGAGCATCACACTGCCTCCGCTGGCTTGCATTCTTGCCAAACTGCATTATGGTGCCATCTCTTCCCCAGGTAAACGATGCACATGATGTAACAGAAAGCGTGACTCATCAGACCAGGCCAGCTTCTTCTATTGCTTCATGGTTCAGTTCTGATGTTCACATGCATTGTACACAAGCATTGTAGGTGTTTTCGGCAGTGGACAGGGGTCAGCATGGGCACTCTGATCTTTCTGCAGCTACGCAGTCCCATACGCAGCCAGCTGCGATGCATTCTGTGTTCTGACCTTTCTATCATAACCATTTTTTCTGAAATTCGTGCTACAGTAGCTCTGTGGGATTGGATCAGACGGGCTTGGCTCCCCACGCAGATCGATGAGCCTTCTGTGCCCATGACCCAGTTGCCAGTTCACCGGTTGGCCTCCCTTGGTAGGCTGACCACTTTTGGTGGGTACTGACCACTGCATACTGGGAGCACTCCACAACACCTCCGTTTTGGAGATGCTCTGACCCAGTCGTCTAGCCATCACAATTTGGCCCTTGTCAAAGTCGCTCAGATCCTTACACTTGCCCATTTTCCCTGCTTCCAACACATCAACTTCAAGAACTGACTGTCTGCTTGCTTTTTATATAATGGTACCCTTGACAGGTGACATTGTAATGAGATAATCATTGTTAATCATTTCACCTGTCAGTGGTTTTAAAGCTATGGCTGATTAAGTAAGTAAAAACATAAAGTGCAAATTTACTTAACTTTTATGTTAGCACTTCCATAAACGATGTATGTCAGATATTTTCTGAGTAAGTCCAGATCTATTTAAGTCAGTTTTATGTAAATTGAGAGCTTACTGTACTAGGGATGAAACGTTTTAGGATCAATCCACTCCACGAGCATCGTTAGTTCTAGTCACTCAGGGCTATAGACCCGAATTTTTTTGCCCCAAAGCCAGTCTTCCTTAAAAACTAAACTTGACCCCTGATCTTTTCAAAAAGCTAGAAACTCCGCCGACCCACTCTATTGCATAACATCGATTTAACTGAATTACATTTTTTTATAGTGTTTGTATTTTTCAGTAAAATAGCAAACGTTTGTTTTGCAGAGTAACAGCTGCCTTTGCCACCTTTCTCATGGAAGCCTTCTCCGAAAGGTTTGGAGATGCGGGAGCGAAGTGGGGGTAGAACAGAGGCTTGTCATGGGGAAATATGGCCATCGCATTCTGCCGATACAGCCGGTGATCTCGCAGCTTAGAGACCCATTCATCAAACAGCTCCTGGGTGTTAATCTGTGGGCAGACGAAGGAAGCAGCTTGACAATCGACCCAACAAGAGCACAGGCACGCTACAGTAAAGCCCACTTCCAGCAATGTGCAGGCTTCTGTTCTGGGGTTGACTACAGTTTGCGGCCCACTGGCTCCAGTTTCTATGCCGTGTTAAAAGGACACAATACAGTGCTTTTGAAAGATGTAATGGAGCCTTGGATCTTCATTGGCTGAGCCCAGACCAGGTAATCATACTGCACGTCTTACCTTGAGGTGGTAGATGTTGTCCTCTGCGTCCAAGTCGATGCACTTTCCGTTCTTCTTGATGGCCATGACCGAGTGACCCACATCAATGCAGCCGTGAAGCTTGCCTTTCTCTATCTAGGAAGAACAGACGTTACCCTAACTCCCATTTTCCCTGCACATTACATGCAGTAATGTGGTCAGGATTTTACATGACAGTGAGGTGAGAACATAACTTAATTACAAAACACCTTAGTCTGTATGGAGAAATACTTCCAGACACTCATTTCATAACCTACGTTATGAAATTTACTGCTGTTGCAGTTAATGACACAGGCACCAGGACACAGAGGAGTTACAGAATCACCATTCATTCTATAGCACACTGAGAAAACAAAAGGTCATTTTGACATGAAAAACCCACCATGCTGTAACAGTCATTTAGGGCAGGAGCACAGGATTTGAGCATAAGCTATGCATAGCAGCAATGGAACTGATAGAGGTTTCCGTGCACTCACATCAGCTCCAGACTTGGCATACTTCAAGATTCCCTTGTCGAGTAAGAAGTACCTCTGTAGAGATAAGGAAGGGGAGTGAACATCATTCTCAAGAAACCAACTGGAACACCTGGCCATATTCTGTGAGAATTTGTTTCCCATTATTATTGTCTGTGAAGGAACAGTAATGATCCCCTGCGGGGGGGTCATTATCGAGGTGGGTGCTTTACCTTGTGCCAGCCCTTCAACGGCCACTTCCTCTTCTTCAGTAGATAACCTTCCTGTCTGAGAGGCTCCCGCCCATGACTGGTTTCCCCCCGATGTCCGTCTATGATCTCCCAGCTGTCCTACACACATGAGGTGGAAATTTCAGGTCTAGAAAGTAAAACACCAGACCAAGATTTTTTTTTTCACAGTCACAGAGTATTCAGCATAAGATGGATTACATGTATAACCCAATCCCTGTATCTGCTACCACTAAAGCTTTCTAAAGACACCTTCTGTCCTAATGGTACTAGCATTGGATTAACTTTGTTAAGTTAGATTCTAGAAGGTCTTGTTCTTCTTTTGCGTAACTCAGATGCTACTATGCAGATATCATAGCTGCTTCTGGTAATACTGTACTGAGTTGTGTTCTTAGGGGCATAGTGTGAGATGAATGTGTAAAGGGGCTTCACTGAGGGGGGGGGTGGCTGATGGCAAACTATTCATGACTTAAGTCAATAAATACACATTTATTTGGGGGGGGGGTAAAAAGCATATTAGGGAGACTTAAGCCCCCCTGAAATAGGCCTAACGACACCCCCGGCTACATTCATTTATCCGGCGTACGGTTTTTCGTGAGCGGCGTGACATTTGGCTCCCAGCTCTCCCACCCCCCATGTTCTTTCACTGTAGTCCCAAGTCCTCTTCGGAGAGAGTCGACCTGGGCCACGGCAGACAGTCAGATCCGATCTCATCTCGTGTCACACACGGAATAAATTGTCATTGCCCTGTCCTTCCCACATCTCATCAAATTTCCTTCTGCCCTTTTTTGCATTTTGAGGAATGGAAGTTCTACTTCATATAATTAAAATTCCAATTCTGTGTCCTCTAGTCTGAAAGTAGAGCGTATCCTATGTGTAACATCCAGTGTACTGGCTCTGTTTACAGTGACTTAAAGGCCTAATAAAATCGACAGGTGTAACCACCGTATTATCGCTGAATTATCACTAACAGTGGAGGCTACTGTACATGTGACATGGCTGTATCTACTATATGTGACTCTGTCTCAGAGACCCTCTGAGGTGCTCGGTTTGGCCCATTTCTCAATGGGCACAAGCATGATTGTCTTTCTTGTTTCTGTTTCCCCTTGGAGAAACTGGGACAGAGAGCCTGCCTGCCGGGGATGAGAGTGAACCCAGAATAACTCTGGGTACCTGGAGGGCATCTGAAATGAGAAACACAGGCTCACATGGCACTCTCAGCTCCGCCCTCCCCAGCTCCGGCCTCCTCAGCTCCGGCCTCCTCAGCTCCGCCCTCCCCAGCTCCGCCCTCCTCAGCTCCACCCTCCTCAGCTCCGCCCTCCCCAGCTCCGCCTTCCTCAGCTCCGCCCTCCTCAGCTCCACCCTCCTCAGCTCCGCCTTCCTCAGCTCTGCCCTCCCCAGCCCCGCCCTCCCCAGCTCCGCCTTCCTCAGCTCCGCCCTCCCCAGCTCTGCCCTCCTCAGCTCCGCCCTCCCCAGCTCCGTCCGCATACCACGGGTAAATCACACAAACGTGGAAAGCTGTCCAATCTACAGATGACATTTGGTCTACAAGGGTTACGGACATTGCTCAAAGACCACACTTGTGACAATTATTACAGTTGCCTTTAACAGGCATCATGGTGAAAAACTTTCCATCTCAGAGTAATAAGCTTGATGACACGACCTGATGATATTACAGCCCTACAGCAGTATCCAGGTCAGCACGCCTACTGTGAGGTCATCATCTCTCCTGAGATTCCCTCACCCCTTTTATGTACACAACTACACCACGCAAAGTTACGCGTTCAACCAGGCAACCAACTTCTATTTTGAAGCTAATTAATACTTCTGGGAAATACATCTATATAGGATTTCTATACATTTATTTCTAATGCTAACTCTGGCACTCAAAAACATGCTGCATCTGAGATCCAGGGACCTTTTGGTTTGTTTAATATCTGATTTGATTTCAGGCTTTAAATGTCCAAGCTCCTGCTGTTTAAAGACACCCCATGGCAAAATATAATATGAAAAATTGTGTAGCGACATGCTGTTACAAATTCGCTGGGATTAATGTAACATTTATGAGCCTATAATCTCTGGTGAAGAGTGAAGAGAGCCGCAGATCATAAGGGGCAGTGTCGGGTGTCTGTTTGTGCTGGGAGTCAGGACAGCGTATGCAGCTGTGATCCAGAGAAAACACAAGGTACCGATGCTCCGACATGGCAGCCCTGGCCTTAAGCAGGGCCAGAAAACGTTGTTACTTAAAATGTCCAACTCCATTGGCCTGTACAGTCGAACTGGCAGCAAAAGATTCATGGACACAGTTTCCTGTCCTGGATCGATATTACACTAAGCAAGACAGTTCTGTTTTTAAATGGAAACCGATAGCAGACTGTAAGCAATAAACATTAACCCACACTATGCATTTAAACTGATACATAATATAATAATCATTATTAGGCAGTGTGTTTGCTTCGTACCCCCCCGGTTCATGGCAGTTCTCTGTTCTTCTCCACGCGTCTGTATGGGTTTCTCAGGGCACTAAGTGTTCACCAACTGCAGATGCCCTGAAGAGACCCTCTGAAAGAGTTTCCTACTTGTGAAAAAATAGATCTAAATACGCGACACCTAACTGGATGTGCCCTTAACTGCTGTTCTGATCATCATCTACCCACAATCTATCTCGCCCTTTAAAGTGACATCCAGACCTTTTATGTCTATTTAACCCTATGTATCACTGAAATGTTACCAAAAATATAAAATAAATAACGCTGACACGATTCACTGGCATTTTGTCCTTCTGAGAATAGTTTTCAATGCTTGCCCTTTGAGGTCTTAAAGTCTTAAAGTTTCAACAATAGTAGTAATTCTTTTTATTTGGGCAGTACGGTGACTTGGCTGTTTCCTTACTTGTCCCAAGTTAGGGGTTCGAATCCCGCCTCGCCTCTGTGTGTGGCGTTTGCATGTTCTCCCCGAGCACTGTGCAGTTCCTCTGGGTTCACTGGTTTCTTCACTGCGTGTCTCTAAATTCTCCTGAGATAGATTGGTGTCTCGGCCTGGGTGAACCCCAGCCTTTTTCCAGATGCTGCCCCCCCCCCACCATGCACATACAATCTTTAGAAGGATGGAAGATGGATTGTGGGTGCACTTTTTATTTTAATTATTATTAATAAAATTATAGTAATTATTAATACTATTAACAGGGGAACCGCTAGCGATTTTGGCCCTACGAAAGCAGATTCTATTGGGCCCCCAACCCATGTTACAATTTTTTGGGCCCCTGTCACTCAGGGGCACTTGGGATGGCCCTAACTTTCCCCCCTTACAGCACCCCCGACTATTAATATATCAATAATACCATCAATCTGATGGAATGGATCTGTGGGTTCAAATGGTATAGATTGAGTATGCTGAGGAAACAACATTATCTGGTTTAACTGGGGGAAGATGGAGTTCATGTGTAACGTTTCATTTACATCCTGAGAGCTGCAGGACGCATGACGTCACCAGCCCACCGGAGGGCACTGCATCTCGGGTCGTCGGCCTCACCTGCCGGCTGTCATGCTTGGAGGACCCACTGCTGTTGCTGCGGGACGGTGAGGACATCTTCTGGGCCATGAAGGAGGCCTTCTCCTCAGAGATCATCACTCTTTAGGCTTGTAACTGCAGCAGACACGAGGCTCCCATGGAACATCTCCCTGCTGGCCAACCACCAAGCGCCTACTGCAGACATACAGATGAAGATACGTCAGGCCTTTCATAAACAGGGAAACACAACGAAACACATATCTACACGTCACCGATTTGTGTAGCACACAATTTTGCCCAAAGTGACATAAAAGTGAGAGAATGGAATAATACAACCAGACAGCTGTCAGGGCATCACTTAGGCATAAGTGCAGCAAGGCTGAGCTTCCGATAAATGCCCAGTAACAAGCGAAAGTAGTATTACAGTAAAGCTATACAATGAGTTTCATCAGAGGACACACCTCACTGTCCTGTCTACAGTAAAGTAAATGAAAACAAAGTGAACTATTTTGCTACAACATGGCAAGTAGCAGGTAAGGAACTTTACCCCCAGTACTCCGCTGTCCACAGTAATACTTGCTATACATTTTACACTGTTTCCCCCAAATTTGGAATACTCAATTAATTCCACGATAGGTGTCACCCTCAATGCATGGCACCCATGCTACCCTCGGAGGAGTGAACATTAAAACCTACAACCCACCCGAAGCACCACCTCTTCAGCAGGCGGAGGTCTGGTAAGCGCTTCTGCTGTCTCTCAGCGAGAACTGAGAGGCTCAGAAGCAGCTTCTACCCTCAAGCCGTCAGCTTACTAAATATTTCATTGACAGTTATAATTTAACATTCACTCCATATTTATGCAAAACGCACTTTATTTGCACTGTGTTGCACATCACTGGTAATTTTTTCAGTGTAACTTTCTGTTCCTTATTTCCTAAATGCGGTGGAACCTCGGTTCCTGAACGTCTCACATATCGTACAGTTCGGTTCTCGGTTGTATTTACGGTTCTCGACCAACCAGCCCTTTCGTGCTGAAGCCTTTTTACGCGTAACGGCGGGGAGAATGAGTGCATATGAGTCAGTCTACCGCTAACGGTCCCGTAGTGAGCATACCCACCGAACTGTGCAGTACATATTCTCTCTTTTTTCTTGCTTTTGTTGCTCTATTTTGTTTTTAAATAAGTCACCAAAGGTTAGTAATAGCAGCAAACCAAAAAGGAAAATTGTGAGAACCACGACAGCTTACAAAGGAAATACTATAATTACAAAGTATGATAGAGGTATTCGCGTGTGTGATCTCGTTACAGAGTATGCAATGGCGATTTTTTTTATTTATTTCATGTATTTATGGGTCTAAAGTTTGTACTTATGGTATTAGCATTAGAATATTTAGGCACAAGGCAGGAAACAATCCAGAATGATCACCAATGCATTGTGGGGAACACACACACAATCTGGCAAGTCCAATTCACCTTTCCATGTTTTTGGACTGTAGAGAGACATTGAGGAACCCAGAGGAAACCCCACAACAAGACAGAAGAGAACAGAAACTCCACACGCATGAAGCCAGGGTAGAGACTAGAACCCTGGTCCTAGAGGGGTCCGGCACCAGGGCTAACCACTATGCTGCCCCAATACATATGTTTATATATTTCAGTAATATAACATTTCTAATCAGTTATAAACTATTATTTATGCTGACTCTGTATTTGCAGGCATAATTAAAATGACAAATAATTAACATGGCAGCCAAAAGTGATTGCTAAAGAGGAATTAACTAGCTAAAATGGCTTCTGTATGCAGACTGACTTTGAGCAGTCAGTGTATTGGACCACAGTAAGAATGTGACACGCTGACAGCATGACTGAAAGGTTACGTGTGTCATGCCTTGCTTATGTGTTTCTCTTGTCTTATGCACGACACAATCAATTTATAATATTTATAGCTGACTAATCCAACACCCCCAGGTATCTGGACCAGCACGCCTCTCATTTGTGGGTCAGGGAAAGAGCTATTCTGGCCTGTCTTTCTGAGACCGTCGTGCTTGCTGTATCTTTAGCCAGCTATTTGTGCAATTTTCCCCACCACAGCATCTACTGATAATTAAATCACAAATGCATTGAGGAAGACAGAAGAGATTCCCGAGGTCAATCACATTTCTGCAGCTCTCCTGCTCACTTTTGAAATTCCTGATTGGATTACAGATTGCTTAGGACTCTCCAAACTGAACTGCTGAGTCATCTTGCAACTGGATTGCAGATACCTAAAATCCTTCCCAGTTAGGCTGGTGATTGATTATGCTTCCTTCCGATTAGATTAGTTAGCCCCTGGTACCTGAGCTTCTGTTGCGCGTCGAGCAGTTGGTGCCCATCCACCGTTTCACTGACAAAAAGGAGTAAGGTGTTGTTGTTTTTTTTTTTTGAAAAAGTAACTGCTTTGATCACAGATGTAACCATACAAGCACTCAGTGGAATTCTAAACGACTGTATGTTCTCATCCTTTTCTAGTGTTTATGTCACACAAACAAAGGCTTTTATAGTTGCTCCAGCAAGCCGGTTTTCAGTGTCACCCGCTGCTGATGCTATGCCAAGGGGGTGAGAACCCACCCCCCACCCCCCAGGGGTTCCAAAAACCCAGGATGACAGCGATGGTTATCACACAGTGTCAGTAACAGCAGGGTGATGGAGAGCTGGGCAAACAACACGCACCGCAAAACCCATCTGTTCCAGGAATCCCTCTACTAACACGATGCCTCCTTACTCACCCTTAATGTAGCACTTTTAATCACTGAATAGCCTTTTTTTTTATAAACATACCTGTATATGGCATGTTTGTATGTGATGTTACATATTGTTGTTGATGTTGCTGTAACAAGACAATTTCCCTCTAAGGGATTAATACAGTGTCTGTCTCTCTCTCTGTTAGGTTCTTGCTTTGTTGGAAGATGTTGCGTAGTTCCTGCTCCCATACTGCTTACACTGGAGATTCACTGGAAGCTCAGCCTAGTTGCACCTCCGCTTACATCGACTCCTCGACAGCACAAACGTTTGTAATGTGCAACTGGCCTCACTTGTACATCGCTTTCAACGAAAGCGTCTGCAGAATAAAAGTAAATGTAAATGCTAAACATCTCATTAGCATCATACAGAAACTCGCAGTCTGTTATGGCGAACAGGAACCCACCCAATCGCATCACACCATCTAAGGACCTAACTCAGTATCTGCAGCATTTCAATGTTTACAGGAAGTACAGTGCATCAGGAATAATGCTGCTGGGGGTGTCGAGATTTTCAGCACTGTTAAAAAAAAGTAGGGTAAACAAATGAGGAGTGGCTGGCGGAATGTGCTGGACACTCACTGCAGTAGCGGGCAGAGCTTCCCTGCGTCTGAAGCCTGCAAGACATTCCACTGCAGCGATGCTCAATCTATAAAAACGTTTTTCTTTAAATGTATTATCATATTCCTATAAATAACATTTAAAAATTAGACATACTATAATTTGTATAAAGCTATGATGTACGTCTCTTCATTTTTAAGATTTTTTTGTTGCAGGGTGAACTGTTTTTATTTGATCTTGACAACCAGAAGCCAGAACACAGTTTTGATCTATCAGGATCTCAGTCGTCCTGCCGCCGTGTTGTGCAGAGAAGATCCTACACTGCATTTTTATCGAACACCAACACTGCAGTGAAGTGCTTTTAAGGAATAAATAATGATGAAAAAACGAAGCAGACTCATTTCAGTCGTATTCTCTGGAGGATGGCAGGAATTCCATGACAACATTTGCACAGTGACGTAGCCTTCTGCTCCACATGCAGAATCAGAGTGGAAACAAGAGGAAAATTGATGGAAAGCACATTGTACTGGATAGACCTAAACTGCATTTTAGCTTGTGGGAGTTATACTTAGACAAAAAAATGTTCTGAGGGCAGAATGAAAAATGATTGGTTCTGAGAGATAACCAATCAGATTGTAGAGGAGGTGGGTCCAAGCAACTAGAGGAGGCAGAGCCAACCAATCAGTTATCTCTCTGAACTAATCATTTTTCATTCTGCCCTCAGAACATTTTTGTGCAAGTAAAACTCCCGTGCGCTGCGTTTTAGCAGGCAGTGATGGAAGGGGAGGCACTGTGTGCTCACGCCCTCTGTAAGGCCCCCCCAGTCCATCCCAGCTGTGTTCCCCTCTTGTAAATCCCCTTTTCAGAAGCGGACAATGAGCAACTGTGCCTCTCAGCTCACCATCATTTATTCATCCCCTTTCCATCCATCAGGCTGCTCCTCCGCCTCCCACCTCACCTGCAACGCCGCTTCCGACCACGTAACCTTTCCCCGTCACGTGCGCGGGGCCTGAGCTGAGAACGCGCGACCGTGCTGATGCTGTAACTCGGTACGTGGCTGCAAAGGTCTCCGGTCTTTTCCATAGACACACACGCGCGGCCAGTGAGTTCACGCGTAATCGGTATACACGCGCGGCCAGTGAGTTCACGCGTAATCGGTATACACGCGCGGCCAGTGAGTTCACGCGTAATCGGTATACACGCGCGGCCAGTGAGTTCACACGTAATCGGTATACTGTACACGCACCCACGCCAGGATCCAGTAATTCCCTCTGAATCACAGCTGGGCTTGAGCGACGCCCCCCCTCCGCACTCTGCCTGCCCGTCTTGCCGTGCAGTTAAAGGGTAGGATGTTATATTTTGGGAAAAGGGGAAGAAAAATCGAAGCATTTCTGCCTTGTGTGATGTCGGATCCGTTTGGGCGGGTGGGAGGAAGGTCAGATGACTACCCTCTGTGCTGACAGGTGGCTAGAATAAAAAATTAATGGACACTCCAAGCAGAGTTTATTTTCCAGTGTCCCACCCTCTTCAGGCAGGAACTCTGTAAAGAGATATAAAAATAGCCAACCTACCGCTTTCACGGGCACACATGCTCTGCGAGGACGGCGCTGAGACACTCTCAAGCTCACACATTCTTTCAGAATCGGGCCGAAAAGGTTGAACTGTTCTGCTTGTTCTGCTTTGTGGTAAAAAGAGTCAAAGCTTCCCTCACTGTTTAGCTCTGGGCTACACAACGTATGCGGCCTGATATCTGGATACTCTTATGCACTATATACTGTAGCGAGGAACTAGCATTCTGTCCCAAGTGTCCCCATGTCTTACATCTTCTGTATTCTGGGCTCCCTGCGATTTTGATCTG